CAGTATTCCAGCCTAGAGATCACAAGGGCTCGAGTGACTGTTGTGAGAGCCTCCCGGTTCAGGTAGGGCCGCAACTGGCGCACCAGGCGAACCTACTGCATAATATATGCAGTACAATGCAGTGAGCCAAGTGCAGATCTGTACAATAGGGAAACAAAGCAACTACTTCCTTAACACATGGCACAACAAACCCACCAGGAAAAGATTCAGCAGTCCATCTGTGTTTAATAGACAAAAACCACTTTTTTGAATACAGAAAAGTCCACATTTTGAATAGAGAGAATCTCTGGTTTGAAAGAGGGGTCAAAGAGGCTATCTTTATCAAAATTGAACAGCCCTCTCTCAACAGAGAGGAAGGGATTTGATATGATCTATCTCCAGTCTACATCACAGCTTTCCAGCAGTTCCAGGAAGGCTCCACACCCATTTGCACTATTCAGGTAAACTTGAGGACACAGATAAATGTTCAAGTGGCCTCAACAACTCTCTAAAAGAATGCAAATGACCAGCTGTCTCTCTAAGACCTCTCATTCAATCCTGAACTACAAATATTTTCCTTTATCAGTGCATTAATTGACTCAGTCCTCTCTACTATCTTTCAAATGGACTCTATATAAAGCAACATTGTTCTTTATCTGCATCTTTTTCCCCCCTTAGATATTTATCAGTCTTGTCACCTCTTCATATTTAAGAGAATGTATCTAGGTTTTGAGCATAACACTCTAGTAGCTGGGATGAGTTTTACTCTATTATACATAAAGTAAGGTGCAGGTTGAACAGAAATGATAACATGTCAGTTATCATTTAATAGCAATATTTGTGTGTGTGTGTTTGTGTGGAGAGGGTGGTGACAACTATTAAAAACTTTTTCATTTCAAAGTATTTTCCATCCAGATAGCTTAGCAAATTCTCATTTTCCAAGGCTATGCTACAGCAGAAACTGTTGGAAGGAAACCTAGGAGTCACCAATTGTAGAATACACAATGATAAAGAGCCCTTAAAAATGTCTTTAAGGATTACTGCTGAGGCAGCTACAGAAATGCACAAAATATAACACATACAATTTCTACATTTAATAATCCAGCAGAGCATTGTATTGTAGAAAAACAAAATACATGTTTTCAAAGGTCATAAATCTCCCAACGTGGCCAAGTACCTTTTTTTAAAAAAAATAAAATAAAATAAAACAAATAGAAAGCAGAGCTGTGGGGTATGATTCCATGGAGAGAGATACTTCTAGCATTGAAAAAACAAACAAACTGGAAAATGGAAATGCCATGGCTTCAGAGGTGGGTGCTCCCGTTTCTCCCCGGTTTCGTCGAACTAGTAGTGGTGATTTGGCCTGGGTCGCAGAACCGACAGCAACACAGGCTGGCCATGCCCTTGAACCAGTTCACTGTTCTCTTCTGCTGTTGCTGGCATGTTTCTGCGCATGCGCAGAACAAATTACACTCAACTGCACATGTGTGAGCAACGCACAGTGGGCACACAAGTGAAGGAAACAGCACATGTGCAAAGTGCATGCAAAGCAAACCGGTACTAATCAGTACAGGAACCCACCCCTGCATGGCTTCCACTATTACAAGACAATGTATTTAAACTTACAGTAAAAATAGAAGAAAGGCACACCTATTCTTTAACACTTCATATGATTATTTTGGGAAATAATTATTTAAATCAGATTTAGTACCCTAGTATTTTCTAGACGTTCTTTCTTTTGCTCCTATGAGCTCATAGGTTGATCCCATTGGTAGATCATGAGAGTTGTGTTCTAAACATGTGAAAAATTCCAAATTGCCTACTCTTCTCGTACAATGTTCCCTCTCATTTTTTTTCAGTGTGAATAGAAAAGTATAGTGTTTGAGCGGCACATTTTCATGCCTGAGCACCTGATTTTTTTTCACAGATGTCACCCAAGACAACAACGAAATCAGTGCTATTTGAAACTCAAAGTTATGTTTATTCAAGGTACCTGCTTAATTAAAAGTGTTATATAATATCAGTATCACTTATAATACTGCAAGTCTGCAATATTTAAATACTTGTATAGTATATATATTTGAAGAGATCAAATCACAACCAGTATGCCACTTTCTTGGTATATTGCTTTTATTTTCATTGAGTTTTTTAAAAATGAGCATTATTTCATCCTTTTTTCTNCCCAGAATTCCCCAGCCAGCGAATGCTGGCTGGGGAATTCTGAGAGTTGAAGTCCGGACATCTTCAAGTTGCCAAGGTTGAGAAACACTGGCCTAGGTCACTTGGGAAATTGAATAACTAAATAAACAGCCAATTGGTGAAGGCACCAGATTAGAAACCAGGAGACTGTGAGTTCTAGTCCTGCCTTACCAAATGAAAGCCGGCTGGGTGAATTGGAGCCAATCACCAGGAGATGGTGAGTTCTAGTCCCACTTTAGGCAGGAAAGCCAAATGGGTGGATTTGGGCCAGTCCCCCCTCTCTCAGCCTCACGGGGTGATCATCGTGGGGGAAATAGGAGGAGGAAGAGGTGTTGAATGTGCTCGCTGACTTCATACGTTTGTGACCATCTTAAAGACGGGATATGAACAAATAAACACGTCCTTTCCGTGCGTTCTGCGGGGGTCGGGGTGCAGGAGAAAGGCATAATGTTTAGAGCGTGGAAACCCCTCCTGAGCCGGAATCCCTCCTGGTGAACACCCCGCCCCCAACCTTTACCTTGTTCCTGCAGGTGATCACAAGTCCTTGATGTCCCACCGCCCAGATCAGCCGGAGAACCCCAAAGTCTTGAGAGTGGCCATTATCGGGGCTCCCAACGCTGGCAAGTCCACCCTCTCGAACCAGCTGCTCGGACGGAAGGTAACGGCACGGGGCTTGGATTCTTGTCAGCCTGTTAACACTTGTTTAGTGGCCATTCACAGTTACAACGGCACCGAACAAAGGGATTGACAACCATTCCTCTCACTGAACAACTGTGGCGGCATCTCCACGGTCCCTGGTGACCTTCCCAGCTAACTTCTGACGAGCAAAATCAATTGGGGAAGCCTGATTCGCTTAGGGAGGGTGCGATTCACTTAACGACCCTGGCAAGAAGGGTGGTAAAATTGCATGCAACTCACTTAACCCACCTTGGCTAACGATGGAAATTCTGCCCCCAATTCTGGTTGTAAGTTGAGGACTAGAGTATAAATGCTACTCTTCAGGCCTTACTGTATAAAACGTTCGGAGTTGGCATTATTATTATTATTATTATTTTGCAGATCCTGGCGGTCTCCAGGAAGGTGCACACAACAAGGTGTAACGCTCAAGGCGTCCTCACAGTGGAGGATACCCAACTGGTGAGTGGTCATAACAATAAGTTTGGACTGTTTTTCTTTCAATGTGGAAAGATGGGCATGCTGCCGGAGTCATAACTCTGAAAACTTCGAATGGTCACTAAGAATGGGTTTAAGTCAAGGACTACCTGTGGGTCAAGCCTACCTGTCTTAGGTCGAGGACTGCCTGTAGCCGCTTCCAACTATGCGGATCACCAAGGGAGGCAGCCTCAGGTGCTGAGAAAGAGACTTTTGGGGTATCCAAAGGATCACATTGTGGATCCTTCCCGTTCTTTTCTCCCTGACCCGTTCAGAAGACATGGCTCTCCTGACCAAAATGCAAACATCAAATTTGCAGGGAATAGCTTGACTGCCCAGGTTCTCCCTCCCCCCTGAAGGCTGGTCAGTGTGACAGCTGAAGGCGCCCAGGCTAGATTGTCGCAAAAATAAGGGAAATATTGTCCTGATTTGAACATGCTTAACTTCCTCTTCTCTCCCTAGATTATCTTGGACACCCCTGGCCTCACCACCGCTGCCAAGGGCAAAAGGTAGGGAGGAGTCTAGACCAGGAGCGTCCAGCCTCGGCCACACGAAGGCTTGGGGACTCCCGGAATCCCCCACTCAGTGTGCTTCTTAGAGGGGCGGACTTCCACTCCCAGAGTTCCCCAGCCATGGAAGTCTGCAGGTCTTAAGTTGTCATGGTTGGACACCTGCTCTGGACAGGGGGTCTCGTGTGTGTGTGTGTGTCTGTGTGTGTGTGTGTGTGCGCGCGCGCACGCGCACGCACATAAGGG